GTTAATATGTCTTTAGAGAAATGCATTATCAAACCACAAACTTACTATTTGTTCAACAAAAACTTTCTCTAGAATCTGGAGGACAAGAGAGCTATCACCCATTTCTGACAAACATGAGCACACAAGGTTGGTAAGTTCTTTAAATGTGCCACAATATGTCTCCTGCTCATCACACTCAATCGCTGACTCCAGTTTCTCTGCATGAACATAAAAATCCATAAGGTAAGATATCACAAAGCATAAAAAACATGATCATCTCTAAAATAAGCTCATAACCGAATTCTTTTCAAAAAGTTCAAAAGAAAACTTGCAGATTCCAGACAAAACCTGGGACAACTTTGAAACGTGCAATTAAGGTGATGAAGAAGCTGAAATGATCTGTAATCTGGATATATCCAGCTTTATAAGCACTGTGAAGAATTTCCACTATCCGAAACAACACAGCTGGTTCAAGCTGTTGATCTGTAATAGACGTTAAGTTGGGTCACTTACCCTTTTTTCCATTCTGTCTTCAACAGAAGCCACTTTTAAAGTTGAATAAAAGCATCAGAAAGAAATATAATGTGATACTCACATAAACAGCATGAAACTATTGCTTTCAGCATACGGGAGCTAAAATTGTCTACGGTGAAGTAGTAAAGGAAACAGAGAGCCACTTCTTGGACTTCCCTAGGGAGACTTGCAAAAGTTCCACCAGGCTCATCACCTGCACAATTTAAAAGATGACGATGATGATAGCCGACAAGACCTATATTAGTTTAGTGACACTAAGAATCTCATAACACGTTTTCTGTTTTGCATCAAGAGTTGCACCTTCTCCCTGACAAGGGATGAAGAAGTTGCTGATCTCTTCTTCAAATGTTGGGGAAGCATTCAGACACCCAACTCGCGCAAGGTCGAGCAAAAGTTGCAAAACAACCTGTAAGAAAATTACAAAAACGGTAAAAATGAGAAGTTACTAGATTGACAAGAATTGTATGAGTCATGTGTTAGCACCTTGGTAGATACGGGATGCTTATCACCCAACTGGTTAAGCAGTGACGGAAGTTTGTTGACCCAAGCGCGCTGATAGTTATTTACGGTTGGATCATTGTGATAAAGGATATCTCCATTCTGCGGATATTACAAGAAAACAGATTTAGATTTCAATGCACGTGGAAAATTAGACTCTGGTTTAAACAGTTGGCCAGTATCTAGACCAAACATATCATGAAGAAAATTACTTACATGGATAATCACATCTTTAACGACTGAAATGCAGGCTAATTTAAGTGGAGAGTCTGGTTTGCAATCATTGAAGGTAATAGTAAATGCCTGAAAGATATAAACGTAATATACCGACAATTATATACACATGAAGTTACTTTTAGCTATCAAAGGAACTAAGGAAATATATCTTCCAGACGAACCTGCATAAGATTATCTCTCTGATCATGGTCCACCCTCAAAATAAGTTTCGGAACAAAGGGCAAGAGTGAAAGTAAACTCTTACTAAGCTTATTGCTCCTGGTGATCTGCAAAATAGATGTTTGCTAAGGAAATTAGCAGTTTATCAGATACAATGTAGACAGAGGGACGGACTTCGAAAATATTCGATGAAAACTAACTAGCTTGAGTTATATATTAATGTAAAGTAATGAGAGCTAACCTTGCCTTGTAGGGCATTCTCAAGAAATTCCAGAAATCTATTGGAAAGATTAGAAGGAAGGCTGCTCCATTCACTTACTTCCAAAAATATTTCTGTCAAAACACTGTTGAGTTCATCATTCTGTCAACAAAGAATCAACTAGTGTTAGGAAGGTCTATATATGATAACCACTAGGAATCAACTAGTGTTAGGAAGGTCTATATAAGATAACCACAAAAGAATATCAAATTAAATAGTAAACATAGGCTATTGTTAATCTAACGTTGTGATTCATACCTTTCCAGAAAGATTGTTTTCGCAATTAAGGGGAAAAGAACCAAGTAACTTTTTCGATAACAATGATGCAATGTACGGATCCAATATCATAAGAGTATTTTCTTCAGATGCAGGTAGCCATGTAGCCTGTCTTTGAGAGTGCCTACGAATGGAAAACTTGATTGCATAATCTATGCTGCGAAGTATATGGAGTATGCAATCAAATGAATGTTTATTGAATCCTCGCGGAGTTTGAATCAATGGAATGAAATCTTGGAAACAATTGATTAAGACTCCAACAATCTCCTTCAATATCCCAGAGACATGGGCAAAACCTGTAAGAACTCGTAGAAAAATAGTCAGACTACTGTAAACTTCAGCACGTGCAAAATCATAGCTTATTGATGAGAAAAGAAGATAGATGGAACATACGAACACATTCTTTCGCAGCATCTTCCTCATAGGCGAGTAGCGTTTCATTCTGTGAAGATCAAAAAGGGCACAAAATGTAAAAAGAAACACTGAGAATAAGGAAAACAGAGTACATCTTATTAAAACTGGTGATCTCTGAACTAGTTTCATAAGACAGTAAAGGAAAGTTGATGTCAGATGCCATCTATCTTTGATAATATTAAAGTCTCACCAAGATATATAGCTGCATTCTATATATTCAATCTTCTAACAAGCAAGAGACCAAAACAAACAGAACCATATACATTACTATGCTACTTCATGCCATGTGCAAAGCAAGAACTTTGGAGTCATATGAGTGAAAACGATTAGATACCTTTCTCTGTGAATCAGTATTGCTCTCATCACATGGCAACAGCGACAAGCAATGTGCCAACCCGGAAAGAACTACCTCTAGCTTGTTTTTATCTTGTACATAAAAATGGTTTTTCTGAATAACATCCTTGTAGTTTTCAAGAATCTGCATCAAGTAGCAGATAGACATTTCAACGAACGTCTTGCAAGAATACTACATGCAAAAGTTGGAAATGTAACAGTCTATGTCATAATCAAAGAAATCAAAGGAGAGACCTTTTCAGCATATAAGGAAAACGTAGGCGGGTAATACTCCAAAACAAGGTGGAAAAAATTGAAAGCCATCAAACGAACATCAATAGATGAATTAGTCATAGCGGTAAATATGTATGGCATCAAAAGTGACACCATAAGGCCCTTGTTATCCTGAAAAGATTTTACACATAGAATCGGCTGTTAGATTCATAAGCAACAGGTCTAGAAACCATGATAAACGAACACATACCTCTTTACAAGCACGAAAGATCTGAGTTCTAAATAGTTCATAAAAAGCTTCTCTCACTAACCCATCATCATGACTAATGAGTTTTCTAAGACACTGTATGACAGTATATTTATTTGATTGCAGCTCTGCTGGATGATGTTTAAAAAGGTCTTGGAAACCATGTAATGTATCTACACAGAAAAAACCATAACTGAAAAACGTTGCAGGTTTCATATATTTATCAACTAAAAACATGAGAACACACAAAAAAACAGTACCTTTGAGAACTTTAGCATTGTGATGTGAAGTTCGTAGCTGAAGTTCCTTCAAGGTCAAGCCTTTTTTACTTGTAGCTAAACCATCTTTTTCTGCTGCCACACTTTGCTCATGAAGTATAATTGCTGCAATATTTAAACAAAGCAATTTCTCAAGCTATTAAGAGAAGAAGACATAAAAAGTTTGGATTTGTAGGAGAAAGTATATACCTTTGGATTTAATCTCGGTGTTAGTTGCATTATTTGGTGGAGGTAATTTTCTCCCGAGCTTTCTCTTGATTTTCTGCAAATACAAAACGAAGAACAATTATCAAACACTTGAAGAAGAAAAGAGACAATGTTACTTAAAACCCTAAAAAAAAAACAGAACCTTGAAATCAATTCCTTTCTTTTGCTGCTTCTTTGCAAGACCCTTGGAGCGAGCCATTTGTAATGTATATTATACGGCTACGTAAAACTCACAAGCAACTCCAAAATTCGCTGAAGAAGAAGAAGCCCACCTGGAAGAGGAAGAGGTGTCGTGAACAAGGTCAACGACTAGAAGAAGGAACAAAGTCAACCGAAGAAGATCTTGGGCTTTGTGTGGTTTTGTTTTCATGGGATGCAGATGAATTAGGCCCAAGTATATTTAGTTTGTCTAAAAAGTTAGTTAAAGTTCTAAGTAGATTTGCTTAGTAAAGTTGTATTAGAGGTGTTAGAGTTGTTGTTTTTTTTTTTGATAAACCCTATCGGCTGATCCGGTCGGTCCAGGTAGGAACAAACCGAGGTGCTACAGAGTGGACTACTTCTGTGGTTCAACGGTTCAACGATTCAACGAACACCAAGAGCTCCGAGCTGACTCGGGTCGAACGGGCCATGTGATATATAATTAGGCCACCGCACTGTCTGATCCGAGTTTATAGTGCCTTCCGACTAATGTTAGGGGATAGTCAGGCCGCTTGCATTTTTGACTACCAGGTAAACCAATTGGGCCAAGGCCCAACTGACAGACTTCTCGCACAAATGTGTTTTTGTTTCCAGGGCGGATCGAACTCGGATCTGCGAGTCTCACCATTCACCAAAACTTCTCTACCACTAGACCACATATGCATGGGCAGGTATTAGAGTTGTTAGAGTCTAAGAAGAATGAATCATGGAATGAGAGTTCCAATGAGTGAGTAAGGGTGGCTACTAGTGTGGTTTAAGACTTTAAGTAAGAGAGTCTAGGATGTAGAAGCATTGGTGCAAGTGTGTGTGTCAAGTAAAAGAAATAGTATATGTATGTGAGTGTTGTGTTCTGTTGTAAGAATGTATCCAAGTAATTATCAATGTAGTATTTTAAAAGGAGAAAAAAGTGTTTTCATGTTTCTCTCGAAAAAAGAACTAAAAGAGAGAATGCAACAATGCGAGACATAAAGAATGAGAGATCTAACCTCTAAACTAAATGTGTTTTTGAGTTTGACTCAACAATTTAGATATGAAACAATTGGTTTTATATGTTAACTACATAAAATTCATGAATAAAATGAATCAGGAAAAAAGATTAATGCATTGCTTTTACATTAACTATCAATGGGTTTCTTCCATCACAGTTTCAACGAATACGATTCACATGAGAAAATGGTTCCGGAGCAGCTTTCTTGGTGGTCTCTGGTACTCCAGAAACATTCCAAAACCTAAGAGTCTCGTCTCCTGCTGCTGAAGCCACGGTACAACCATCCGGACTTTGTGCCATATAAAGAACTCTTGATGTATGACCAGTGAGTTCAGCCATTTTCAACATAGATGGATACTTCCAAAGTGTAAGCTGATTCTGTGTAAACCCATGTGAGCTAAGTAACTGTCTTTCACTTTTTCTCCATAACAATGAACAAACTTGAGAGCCAGTTTCTACTGAATTCAAGCAAGCCCCAGTGTGTATTCCAGAACTTAATAATCCCATCTCCTACACCACCACCAGTTGCAAGCAGACTCGCTTGGAATGGGCACCAGACAAGAGCTTTCACAGCAGCTGTATGCCTGTATGTTTCTCAAACCTATGTAGCCATTGCCTAGTTGAGTTTGAGGAGGAGACAGAACAATCCCATATGTGTACTACATTGACGTTACCACCACTTGCTAGTTGTTGTCCAGATCTTTCCCACTTAAGACCACAAACCTCTTGAGTGTGAACCACATAAGTTCCCACAATGGATGACCTCATCCAGTTGTTAGAATGTGATTGTTCCATGTCAATGATCCAACTCTTGACTGGTGACAACCTTTCAATGTTCTCAGTTGACGATTGGAAACAGAATCCCAAATCTGCACTTAAGAGTTATCAAGACCAACTACAAGATTACGACCATCTTGCGTCCAGTTTAAACTTGTGACAGGTCCTTTCTCTTCATCAATGGTCACAAACACAGATTTACAACCACTAGAAGCATCCCGTAAGTAAACAGTGTATCCCAAAGCTATTGGTAGGACATTAGTACTGCCCCAGTCCAACAAGTTAATGTAGAAGTCATCCACAGTGCCAGGTGCATTCAAGATTTTCTCTCTAGTCTGAGGAATGTATCTACGAGGCTTTACGGATTTAGGTTGTTGGTGAGGAAAAACAGAGTGATTACTAGGAAACAGAGCTTTAGGTTTGTTTCTGAAAGCGAGAATTCGGGTGTGATTTTGATATATAGTCTCAGCCAATTGCTTCATGTAGGCTTTTCTTGATGCTGAAGTTACCTCATCTTAGGGGTTTTTGCTGTCCTTAATTCATTACTAGTAAAATTATATAGAAAATGTTAATTACGTACAACGGTCAGATTGATATTTAGTAAAATGGAAATCGGATCTAATTTAGATTTCCTCTTTAATGTAAAAAACAAATAAATAATTTTTATTACAATTACTGGAATTTCCCAACGGTTAGATTAAATGATCATCATTTAACGAAGAAAAGATACTCTTAAGAAAAAAGGAAATAAAACTCACAGCTCAATTTCTCTCTCTCTTGGTTTAGTATCAAATATGGAAATCAAATTCTATATAATAACCATGAACCGTGTTCACTAGTATCCTAAGAGTTTTTGCTTTTTGATAAGAAACTAAAAGCTTCCTTTTTTTCTCTCTGTAAACAACAATGGATTCTTCAATGTCGACGAAGAAGAAAACCAAACTCTCTCTGAGAAACCAAACTTGTTTCAAGAAATCGTCTCTCTCTTCCACTGCAAAAAAGACCACGAACTTGTCTATGAGAGAAGACACAATGTTTAAGAAAGCCTTCGAGCTCTCAACTCTGTGCGATATCGAAGTCTGTGTCATATATTACGGTCGTGGCGGAGAGCTCATCAAGACATGGCCGGAGGATCAATCTAAGGTTCGAGACATGGCTGAGAGATTTAGCCGATTACATGAGAGAGAGCGACGCAAGAAAAGCACAAACCTTTCTCTGTTACTACGTAAGAAGATCCTCGACGACAGTAAGCTCTCGGAGAAAGTGTTAGAGATGAAGGATTCGTTAGAAAGTGGTCTACGGGTATTACAAGATAAGCTTCTGTTACTCCAACCAGAGAACCAGACCGAGTTAGGTCAGAGACGTGCCGTTTCTTCCACAACGAATCCATTGTCTTCTCCTGTGGATCATCATCAACAATGGACAGAACCATTGGTGAATGGTGTGTCAAACACAGAGCAAGAGCTATCGACGTCATCATTGAGTCAACATCAGAGCAAATTTTCAGTCTTTCTCTATAACCATGACAATGGTAGCTTCTATCAAGTCCCAGACTCTGTTTCTAGCTTTGACCAATCGACGAGTACTGCTTTACTTGGGGCCCAAGGAACTGGTCTAAGAAGTAATAGCTGCAACAACTTTGATCTTCCCGTGGTGTTTCCTCCTCAGATGCAAACACAAACCCCACCTGTCCACTTTGATCAATTTGCGCCATGGAATCAAGCACCATCTTTTACAGATCCAATGATGTTCTCTTATAATTAGGTCTTGTTGTTCCAAGATCTGATCCTTGAGTTGGTCCACGTTTTATTATTTTCTATTATGTATGTATTCTCAGTTTAGATTAAAAGTTTAGCCTGATTAAGAGTTTGTAAGAAATCCTTTGAATTGTATGTTTTCCTAAGAATGAATGCTATTTTTCAAGTTCTTAAAAACAGTCTTGGCTTCTTCTATTTTTGTCTGAGTCTTATATTTGAGTTTTAAAACCTTCTATACTAAGAGATTTAATATAAAATAGACATTGAATGTTAGATATCCATAATTTATGGAGATAAGCCAACTAATCGAGTAATTGAGCTCGTCTCTGTGAAATCTTTGGTTCAATTTTGTGAATGGATTAAATGGAGGAAAGCTTTCCGAAAGAGAAGCGATGAATTCGAAAACTGTAGTGCAAGAAAAGAGGTTAGGGACAAGCAAATTACCTGACACTTTGATATGTCAGATGCTCTTATGGTGTAAAACCTCTGTTTTTTTTTTATTCCCTGGTTAGATTTATTCGCCAATGAATTCACAGATTACAATGCCTTAGTGAGTTTTGTTGTTAAGTTTTTAGATTCCTCTAGGAGTCTGTGGTTAAGCGTTAACTATAAGCACCTTGATGCTAAGTGTCATGTGAGACATTAGTTTTTAGAGGTGATTCCCCTAAGTCTTTATATATGTTAGACATTGGACTCCATCAGGTTTTGATGCGTGATTTCTAGTCAGTTTCTTTACCTTGTCTCAGGTTCATGCGTTTAGAAAATAATATATATGCCAGTACTGATGAAGCTATATATAGTTGCTTATCTCGTCTTGCCCGGTTCTTGAAGATTTGAGCATTGCAAGAAGTCTCAATGATAATGTTAAGGTTTTAGGAGTGCACTTCTCAGTCGTCATTAACCAGTCTTAGTGTTGAGTTTTATGAAATGGAAGCTGGTGCTCTTGTTTTTGATCATGAAGGCACAGAGTTTTTGATTGATGCCAATCCTCAAGTATCTGAATTTTGAAGATGATCTAACAGAGAGAGTAAAATCATAAGCAATACAAGTTCTTTAACCAAGGTGTATGTAGTTGGTATCTGGTATTTTTTTTTATATATCGTTGGCTTACTGAGGCAAACTTTGATCCGTAATTCTTCGCCGGATTATCGAGGGTTGATGATCCCTTGGCATACTGCAGTCTGCAGAGGTATATGTCTTACCAAATTCATATGTATAAAATGTTCTTTTCATTGACAGTTAAGATTCTTATGCTCATTATGTTGACTAGTATCTCTATCATAACATGAAAACAGAACCGCTACCGCAGTTTTGCAATTTTACATGTCTACAAGTGACGTTTTGTCTATCCTACATGGAAATGCTTACCTAGACTTCTTGAGAGCTTTCAGAATCTAAAATGACTCGTCATAGTGGTGGTGACTTGCACAAACCCCGAGAGTTTAACATCTATGTTATTAATCTTTGTGTGAGTGTTTTCTATTACTACAACGGTTATATTGATATTAATTAGTAAATGGAAATCGGATCTAATTAAGATTTCCCTCATAGACAACAAACAAAAAAAGGAAATTCATTACTTGAAAATCCCAACGGTTAGATTAATAAAAGAATATCATCAGCAATTAATGAAGCAAATATACTCTTAAGAAAAAAAAAGGAAATGAAACCCACAGAGCTCAGTTTCTTTCCCTCTTGGTTTAGTGAAATCAATATCAAATATGGAAATCAAATTTTTACAATTCTATATATCAACCCTGAACCACTTAGTATCCCAATTCGCAGAGTTTTTTTTTTTCTCTTTGATAAGAAAAACTAAAGCTTCTTTATTTTTTCTTTGTGTAAACAACAATGGATTCTTCAATGTCGACGAAGAAGAAAACTAAATTGTCTCTGAGAAACCAAACTTGTTTCAAGAAATCGTCTCTCTCTTCTTCTACTGCAAAAAAGACCACGAACTTGTCTATGAGAGAAGAGACTATGTTTAAGAAAGCCTTCGAGCTTTCAACTCTGTGCGACATCGAAGTCTGTGTCATATATTATGGTCGTGACGGAGAACTCATCAAGACATGGCCGGAGGATCAATCCAAGGTTCGAGACATGGCTGAGAGATTTACCAAACTAAACGACAGAGAGAGACGCAAGAAAAGCACAAACCTTTCTCTGTTGCTAAGGAAGAAGATCCTCGACGACAATAAGCTCTTGGAGAAAGTGTTAGAGATGAAGGATTCGTTAGAAAGTGGTCTACGGGTATTACAAGATAAGCTTCTGTTACTCCAACCAGAGAACCAGATCGAGTTAGGTCAGAGCCGTGTGGTTTCTTCCACAACGAATCCATTGTCTTTTCCTGTGGATCATCATCAACAATGGACAAAACCATTGGTCAATGGTGTGCCAAACGCAGAGAAAGACCTATCGACGTCATCATTGAATCAACATCAGAGCAAATTTTCAGTCTTTCTCTATAACCATGACAATGGTAGCTTCTATCAAGTCCCAGACTCTGTTTCTAGCTTTGACCAATCGACGAGTACGGCTTTACTTGGGGCACAAGGATCTGGTCTTAGAAGTAACTTTGATCTTCCCATGGTGTTTCCTCCTCAGATGCAGAAACAAGCTCCACCACTTGTCCTCTTTGATCAGTTTGCGCCATGGAATCAAGCACCATAGGTCTTGTTGTTCCAAGATCTGATCTTTGGACTTGGTCTACGTTTTATTATTTACTGTTATGTATGTATTCTCAGTTTTGATTATGAGTTTAACTGATTAAGAGTTAGTAAGAAATCCTTTGAATTGTATGTTTTCCTAAGTATGAATGCTATTTTTCCAAGTTTCTAAAAACAGTCCTGGCTTCTTCTTCTTTTTTGTCTGAGTCTTAAATTTGAGTTTGAAAACCTGCTATATCCAGAATTTTCATATACAATAGACATTGAATGTTAGAAGTCCATAATTGAGTAATTGAGCTTGTCTCTTTGAAATCTTTGGTTCAGTTTTGAGAATGGTTTCAATGAAGGAAAGCTTTTCAAACGAGAAGTCATTATGCGAAACTATAGTGCAAGACAAGAGGGTATAATAAGAAAAGTACCTGACACTTTGATGTGTCAGATGCTCTTGTGACAGCTTCTGAAAAAAAGATGTTAAAAACTAGTGTTTTGTCCAAGAGGTGGAAAAACTCTGGCATTGTGAGTTTCCAGATTACAATGCCTTAGTGAGTTTTGTTGATAGGTCTTTAGATTCCTCTAAGGATTCATGTGAAGTAAGATATGCGTGCTAGATCTACAAAGCTTGTATGATAGAGATGATTATGAAATGCGTAAGAAGAGATGAGCGCACATAAAAGAGACGACACACGAGCTTTGTTAACGGGGTTCGGATAACCTACATCCCCGGGACCAAGTCCAGAATCATTCACTAGAATAAGAATGCAAAAATCACATTTGCCAATGGTATCTAACAGACTAACACACACTTGTGTCTACCATTCTTATCTAGATTAATCAAAGAAATCACCACTCATTGTCAACAAGGGCGTTCTAGTGCGTTGTAGATTCTTATCCAAGACTTGTATCATTTCTTTTCCGACGAGGGTGGTTCTTCTACAAAAGCCACTAACAAATCTATCTATTTGTCTAGTGGGACAACACCACACACAACATGTGTGCTTCTCTCAATTTTAGATCTAAGGTGTGTAACCTTTTTCTTGTTACCACCTCTTCCTTTTATACCTCTTAGAGCTCTCCAAAACCCTAGGTTCCACAAGCTCTTCCTTTTATATTTTGGGTAATAGCTTGTGCTCTTTTGTCAACTTGACCCAAGCCTCTGTTCTATCGCACAGCTGCTCTGCACCACGATACAGGCATGTCAACTTGAAACATGCTTTAGCACTGACGCAGCTATGTCCATGTACTGATACAGCCGTTCCAGTGATTGCTACAACCTGAGCCTTTTCTACCTCTGTTGCGTTACACAGCGTCTTCTTGTTTTCTTTTCTGTTACAGCAGGTTCACTTAGCTGATACTCTGCTTTCTGAAAGACTTGTTCTTATGAGCTAGAATCATGATCTGGTTGAGCTCTCACTTCTTGGATCTTCTTAATAAGACTCCAAGGTTCAACACGTCACTTGAATCCATGTGTCTTCAAATTGGACTGTCTCTCAGCTGTCTCAGATACTCTAGTTGAAAGATCACTGCATCTGTGATACGATCCTCCCAAGGATTATGCACTCTAAGGTGGTGAATGGTCGCACAAGAGCTGCGGAAGACTCCTGATTTATCGATTCTTTGGATATTACACACCAAAGGAGATCGATAACTTGCTGGATATGACGCACCAACAAGGAATGGATAGAGAGATGGATCGAGAGACGCCACAAAGATCTGTGAAAGGATCTATGATAAGTCTGAACAAGCCATGAACATAGATATGACACACCATGAACATGGAGTTCCAAAAATTACAAGATATCACATCTTGAAAGAGAGAAACTTCTCTGATTTTTACTCAACAACAAAACTTACTTTTATTCATGAATTAAGCCTCATTATATAGAGGAGATACAACAATTTCGTCCATAACATGCAGCACAACTTGGAAATAGAAATTCAAACTCTAAAGTGCATGTAAGAGAGAGAAAAACACTTAAATAAATGCTGGTTTGAGGATGGACGAAAATCTCTCTTTTCTTCTTGTTTTTGGGCTGAATCCACTTTGATGGGCTTCTCTGATTGACCAAGATTCCAGAACAATTTGGTTTGTAGCTTAATTCAATCTGGTCTTGTCGGAATCCTTCTTTGAATGGGCGTATGTCTGAATTCGCGTAAGCTGGAGATCACCGATTTTGTAAATTGCATAACTCCTTCATCTGAACTCCGATTGATCTGATTCTTCTTCGAGGAGTTTCGTAATTGAGCTGAGCACATTCTCCAACTGGTTTCATGCATAAATTCGCCGTGTTTGATCAGATAAGCTTGATTCAATGACCACATATCCTGCTGCTTCCCATTATCATATCAATCTGCGTCTAGCACAGAGATAACTGCAACTGTGTCTGCATCTGTTCTCAACGTCTTGTGCATTACACAACGTTTGTAACTGTCCTAGACTTGTTCACAGCTTCAGGATAATACTCTTGAGTCTACTAACCAGTAACAACCTCAATATATCTTCAATCTCTCCCTTTGTTACTGAGTTATAGAACTCAAGCTTTCTTGACCTTTGCACTTGATGTTCTTCAAGCTTTCATATTGTATCTGAATCTTTGGCAGCTTCATTTCCTTAGAGAGGATTCTGTCATTGTATCCTTGTCTCATCTGTCTCATGTTCATGCACCTTTACACATGTGTTGTAAGTCTTACAATTCCGTCAACACAATGTATCTTCATCATATGCTTGTACAAGCTCAAGTATAGTGTATCCCGAGGATTGAGAATGAACAGTCTAGTGTCACGTGGTGGATATAGATTCTGTGGTTAAGCGTAAAATTAAGCATTTTGATGTTAAATTTCATATGAAGCGTTGATTCCCCCAAGTCTTTATACATGTTAGACATCGGTGTCCTTAAGACTCCATCATGTTTTGATGTGTTTAAAATACAGTATATATGCCAATGATGAAGCTATGTGAGCCGGCACTGGGCTTACTGAGGCAAACTATATATGATCCCGTAGTTTCTCGAAAGTTAAGGATATGTTGATCTCTTTGCATACTGCAGAGTATATATCTCTTACCAAATTCATATATATAAAATGTTCTTTTCTTGATATTTGAGATTCTTATTCTCATTATGTAGAGAGTACCTACTTCTATCATAACATGAAAACAGAACTGCTACCGCAGTTTTGCAACTTGTTCTGTTTGCAAGTGACGTTTTGTCTATCGTACCTGGAAATGCTCCTAGCTAGACAGACTTCTTGAGAGCTTTCAGAATCTAAACTGACTCTTCATAGTGGTGGTGGTGATGACTTGCACAACCCAAGAGTTTAACATAAGAAACGTTTTGTTTATGTCTTATGTGTTATACATGCATGTCTGTGTGTTTTTATAACAGGACTCGGAGGGAACTAAATCAGATCAAACGGTCCTATAAAACACATTTTAACGAGATCTAACGGTCAAAATTCCAAATTCATACAAATGTGCCATGTCGCACTCTTCAAACGTAGTAAGAGAAAGAAACCATCTTCAACACCAGCCGTAAGAAAAGTCAACAAATTCAATTCTTTACGCATCTCCCATCTTTTTTCAAAGTCAACTAAAGTCTGCTCTTTTAATTCACTTTCTTTTCTCTTTTGGTTTCTAAATCATAGCAAAAGTATTCACAAATCTCATGGGATCTCCAACAACTAGGTTCTGTCTGATCTTGATATTCTTGTTTTATAATCCTCCTTGTGCCCTAAGTCAGAAAAAGCCAAGTGGGTTATGTGAAACTCTGTTTCAGTGTGGCAATATCACTGCCGGTTTCCCTTTCACAGGACAGAATCGCAATGGCTTCTGCGGTAACCCTTCTCTTGAACTTACCTGCAACAGAAGTTTCAACACAACCTCTCTTATGATCTCAGGTCACAACTATACTGTCCTTGATATAGACAACAAATCCAACATTCTTACACTTTCAAGACAAGATTTCTCAGGTCCTTTCTGCTCTGCTTCATTCTCCTCAACACCTCTACCTTCAGATCTCTTCCAGAATTTGCCATCTTATAAAAGCCTCACTGTGTTCTACGCTTGTGACCCTCGTCGCCATTTCCTTGGTAATTTCACATGTCCAGTGAAAGGTCTTGGCTCTGTGATTCAAAACTCTACATATCATAAATTCTGTGATGAGAGTTTCAGTGTCACGGTTCCTACGAGTTTCATTCCAGAGGAAGAAGCTTTGAATTTGACAATTTTGGAAAGTGTTTTGAGAAAAGGTTTTGCGGTGAAGCTGAAGAATGTAAATGAGATATTTTGTCAAGAATGTTTATCCTCAGGTGGAAGCTGTGGCTTCCAATTGTCCAGACAGGTTTGCTGCAAGAACGTATCAAGATCAAGTATTAGTTGCCGTACTACAACTTATATATCTGGTGGTAAAGTAGCATTCGTGTTCTGGGAGAGAAGAAAAACAAATGCTCTGAGAGATCAAAACCTTGATGCGTTAGTAACCTTGAGACGGTATAGTTATGGAGAAATCAAGAAAATTACAAAATCGTTTACAGAAGTTGTTGGACGAGGAGGATTTGGGACTGTATATAAAGGGAAGTTACGCGATGGTAGTAAAGTTGCAGTGAAAGTCTTGAAGGATTCAATGGGAAATTGTGAAGACTTCATCAACGAAGTCGCAAGCATGAGCCAAACATCTCATGTTAACATTGTTACTCTGCTCGGTTTTTGCTATGAAGGATCCAAAAGAGCGATTGTATATGAGTTTCTCGAAAATGGGTCTCTGGATCAGCTTATCAGAGGAAAGCTCAATTTACTCCGAATTATGATTCCATGACTTTGGAATATATGTAAAACTAATCATATTTCACATTTATAGGCCATCATTTATCCATGGGAAAACATATTAAACAGTAAAGTGTGTCTCAAACTGCGTTTATCAAAAAATATAAGTAAAAAATCTAGGGAATCGTTATAAATCAAGAAATATCATGTAAAATTGTTGTGTTTATGACTTAGTTTTTGGTTTTATGACATGGTTTTTTTGACGTAATCGGTACTCACTTATACTCCCTCTCGTTTTAGTTGTCATTTAAGGTTTTTTCACACAAATTAAGAAAAACATTAAATTTTCTGTTTTACCCTTTATTAATATATTTTATAAAAGTTTCATTGGCCAAAACATTAAAACATTAGAAATAAAGGAGCTCTAAAAAAAGTTTGACCATATACACTTTTTTTTTTTAGAATGTCACTTTGGACTAAAATACCCCTACTCTCTATTTTAAGCATTTTTTGAATGATTTTACCAAAAAAACATGTAGATATACAAGATTATAGATGATTTGAAAAAAAAAATTGATGATTTAGTTGAAAAAAAGTTGATTTTTTTATGGATAAAGTTTCGTCTAAAATTATTAGAATACGTTTTCTAACGTTCTACGAATATCAGAATTTATATTCTAAACTTTTGTACATATTCTACGAAAATCAGAGTTTGTATTCTAAATTTTTGTACATGTTCTACGACTTTTAGATTAAATACATGTTCTAAAAAATTCAGAAGACCGGAATACAATTTCCAAAAATCCTTAGAACATGTATTCTACGCTTTTCTTCATGTTCTAATTTTAGTCAGAAAATCCATTCTACGATTTATAACATGTTCTAAAAACGTTAGAAAACGTATAATTATTTTAGAATCCGTTTTCTAATATAATATAGATTTCAATTTCTGAAAAGTTTTAGAATTCCTAAATATAGAAAGTGAATCTTTCAAAAAGGAAACTAAATATTTATTAAATATTACGTTTTTATTGTTTAGATTACGATCTGAGGATGGTTAGAATACGTATTCTAATATTTTCAGATGAAAAAAGAAAATTAAAAACAAAAATCTAGAGGGTGAAATCGTTTTTAGCCCTAATCGTCAAAGTCTTCTTCTTTCACCCTTCCTTTTAAGTCCACGTTGAAAGGTTAGACTAATTTGGTAGATTTGTCGTTGTTTTTCCCCGTTCTGTGCCACGTTTTTTCATTTGGTATATACCCATATGTTGATGATGTGTATACAACTGCCACTTGGAGATCATTATATGAGGAAACTATTAATCCAACAGGTGTTCCTGAAGATAAATGGCGCGTCCCAAAGGTTGTTGAATCTGCAAAAGTTTTACCACCTGAAACAAGAAGACAACCTGGTAGACGAAGAAAACGAAGATATGAATCAGCTGAAGACAAGATAAAAGCATCACAACAGTCACAATTATCAAAAGCATAAGTGCGGTCGTTGTGGTAAAGAAGGCCATAATCGAGTAACATGTGATGTAGCAATATAAGGTCGTTTGTGATCGTGATCTGACTACTAGTTTAAAACTTAAGTATAGATTCTCTACTTTTATATTTTGTTTTGATAATTGTTTTCTTTATCTTTTTCAGGATTATGTTGCAACTGCTCTATTGAACGTTTCTAGTTACCACTATATGGATTTTGAACTTCTTTCTCATTTCATGATTATTTTCGCATTTTTTATTTCAGATTTGAATTTCCTAGTACTCTATGTTTGAATTTTTGTTCTCATAATTGGAATCCCTACTACTCTTATGTTCGTGGTTTTGCTTTGAGTTTCGGATTGACTTATCACTAAATTAAGTATATACAGCATAAGTTCCAAGACCAATTTAACATAATTTAAAAAGAAACGTAAGAACCATAGTCTCAACCTACCAAGTAGGAATTTTCATTTAGTTTATTGTTTATCGATGAGGGAAGTTGATATGTTGTGTTTTTATCGGTTTTGAGTCTTTTGTTTTCTTTTCTACATCATATGTTTTATAGAGTCAAAGTGTGTTTTTAGAGTATTTTAGTCTTTTATCAAGTCTTTACAGGTTTTAGGTTGCTTTGGAGGAAAACGAGCTGTTTTGGGTTATAAACACACTTTTGGAGATGCAGTTTCGTTTAGAAGTATCATACGTTTGGTCTCAGATGGAATACTTCACACCGTTAGATCTTTCTGAAGTTTTTACACAGGCTAGATGAAGATGTTAGCTTGATTTTCCAAGTGTTTTGAAGGAAATCTAACGGTGCATTCAAGAGTTATACCCAAATTAGTGAAGACAGGTCAATCTGGCGAAAGAATGAGGGTATCTGAATTATGTAAATAAAATAGGAAATAATTTTTTAAAAATTTTGTTAATTATATTTTCGAAAATATGAGGGTAAATTTGGGTTTTGATTTTTAAAAAACCTATTTCACCAAACTTTTTATATAAAAGTATATATGGACATTTATCCATTAAAACATCCTTTATTTCTAATTTTCCCTTTATTCTTTGTTTAAGCACTTGACAATCTCTGTTTTAAGACAAGATATTTGTTTGTGATTTAAGATTGAACTTGAACTTAGAATTTTTGTGTTGTTGGCAAATTAGGTAAGATTGGAACTTGAACTGATTGTTTGAGTCGTTGGCAAACAAATTTATATAATAATAACAATCTCAATAAACATTTTTTACATTTGTGAACAATTATATTTTTTTTGGAAAAATTATAAATAAAGGAGATCTGAATAAAAATTTGACCATATAGACTTTAATTTTGTGAGAATGTCACTTTGGACCAAAATATCACTATTCTCTATTTTAAGCAATTTTCAATGATTTTACCAAGAAAACACGTAGATATACAAGAATATGTATGCTTTGTAAAAAAAAAAAGTGATTTTGTAATTTATTTTAATTAAGCGTATAATTGGCTTTTAATCTTCCCAAAAACCTGTTTCACCAAACTTATCTAGATAAAGTATAGATGGACCAATTTTTTTCAAAAGATCCTTTATATCTAACTAGATATGGACCATAATTATTTCTTAATATTTTTATTTTATTTTTGTAAGCTTAACTAAAATTCTATAAACATATATATTTTAGAAAATGCAGCATAATTATTTCTGAAAACAGATTTATGCGTAATGCGCAATATAAAACATTAGAGAATATACGATAAATAACTTGAGCCTAAGAAATTTTTTTAAAAAATCAGACTAAACATTATCTATTTGCTACATGGCTTCTGTCATTTTAAGCTCATATTACCAATTTTTTTCGTTTTCTCTTCTTTCTAATTGTCAAATCTCTATGCATATCTCATTAGATTTCTCTTATTTTTGCTCGAACTCCTCTTTCTTTCTTCTTCTCTCCCCCTGTCGGATTTCTTCACCACCATATATTTATTTTTATTTTTTCCGTATCTTCATTTCTCGCATTCCTCGGGCATCACTATCGAGTCTTACTACTCTGATCTACCACCACAACTGAATCTCACTACTATCACAATCACCACCACCATCAATACCGAATCTCGCTAATTTCGAGTCACCACTTTTATCAATATTTACCGCCGCCACCACCACCAAGCTTGAACCACCATCATTAACACCACTGTCACCGCCTCTTATCCTCTTTTCCCAACTTCTCTTATTGCTCCACCTTCTTTATCTCCTCCGACATTAGACCAAGCCTCTCTGATATATTACGGTTGTAATTATTAAGAAAGTTCAAATCCGAATAAATGGCTTTTACGGTTACATTTTATTTTATTGTAAATCTTCATAAACGGTTGTAACTGTTTAGTTGAATCATTGCAATATTTAGTTTATTTCACAAACAAATGCAACTTTTGGTTTATTTTATAAATCGTTATAACATTTAATTATCGACAATCGAATCTCTCGATATAACTTTTCATAAATTTTTATTTTTAACTTTTAATTACTAAAATATATTAAAATGAAATTGTAACCGTTTAATTGAACCGTTGCAATATTTGGTTTATTTGACGAATTATTGCAACATTTGGTTTTGTTTTATGAACCGTTGTAATGTTTAGTTTATTTGATACACTTTTGCAACATTTGGTATATTTGACGAACCATTACAACTTTTGGTATATTTTTTATATCTAAAGTCACGTCTATCTGTTAAAGTTCTTCATAATTTTTATTTTAAATTTTAATTACTAAAATATATCTAAATGAATTGTTGTTATCGTTTAATTCAACATAGTAACATTTGGTTTATTTGAAGAACCGATGAACATTTTAGATTATTTGACAAACCGTTGTAACCTCTAGTTTATTTGGTGACTTGTTGCAACATTTGGTATATTTGAAAACCGTTGCAACCTTAATTTTATTTGGTAAACTCAACTTTTGGTATATTTGATGAACCGTTGCAATATTTTTTCTTTATAAAAGGTTTTTGAGAGCATTATTTTAAGTTAAATAAGTTCATTTACAATTGCATTTTGTCACCATGTTTTATTAGTGCTTTTTTCGTCACAAACTCTTCGTTCCAATAGTTATGTCTTTTACAAACAGTTTTATCTATTTAAACTTTCATGTCTTTTTAACTGTTTATTTTTCTATTTTCCTAGAAAATTATGTATATTCATTATTACTTTTTGTTTGATAATTTTCATATAAAGTTGCATTATTTTCTTATCTAGCATTCATGTATATACTTTTTTTTACCTATATCATTATTTTTTTTTCCTAAATAACTATATATTTTGGTTATTTGTTAATTTTTCCGATGATTTTCCCTCTTTAACATAACACATTTTAAAATGTTGGATCTTTCTATTATATTTTTTTGAATATATTATATAATTATTTAAGAAATTGAAAAATTGCGTCTACTCATTATAACTCTTGGTGTAATATTTTTTATTTATGATGACATTTTTACCATAATGTTTCTAATAATTATACAAATCTTAATAAATATTTCTAAGGGTTACGCTTCTTTATCATATTTTTTTGTAAAATATATTTTGATTTATTGTTAAAAAAAATTGTTTGGAAAGTTATTTCAATTTATTATGATATTTCATTTGATTTTTTTCTCTTTCCTAGTAATTATAAAACAAGCTAAATATTGATATGCCAAGATTTTTACGGGGTTTTTTATACTACATATGGATATTTTATTTTAAATAACTATTTATTTGACATTAATTCTGTTAAATATTGATTTAAATTACTAGCTAAATATTTATTAATTATCTACAGATTTTAAATTAGAAAATAAGATATGTCAAATTGGTAAAGAATATCAAAATTTTGATTGGATATGATAGATTTTGTCACCCTAGCTTTATGTAGTATATAAAGATAGGGAGGGACTCTAAGTGCATTCATCAAATCAAGATCATAACATAATGAGTGGTGATGAGAACCTAGTACTAGACGTCATTCCTTTCGTAAAAGATGTTACTGGGGGGCCTCACAACTTTCACTCAGTGGCTTATATTATGCACTCATGTTTCTGTACTTGGATAGGGAACAATGGTAAGAAAATCGTTGTTATTTATAATACATAATATTGGATAATTTATGATTGTAATATCATCAGGGTTAGATACACAATATGGAGTGCTTGGTGGATAGTGTTCCTTGGCGTGGCAACAAGGTGCATGTACAAAGACCTTCCAGTCCAAACATATCGACTAGGACCACATGGGCGGCTTCGCGTCTTCTTGTTCGTGACGTTTTGTATTTATTGCATTTCATATACTTTCGAAGGCGTGGACAGAGTAGTGATGGTGGCATTTGGTTGGAGTTTTATACTATCGGTGCTTGCGATCATGCAACTTTCTTGTCCGATAGAAGATTTCTCATTAAAACATCGGGACGCCATGACATTAGGACTCGTGTATGGTTTTGTAGGTGGAATATATATTTGGAGTCAACGACTCATACGGCTTTGGTGTAGTTATTGCATGCTCCCTTATTTCTTTGCTGATGTTAATAATTTCTTTTTTATCAAGTGTGAGAGAGGTTTTACCACCAGTAGTGTAATAATGAAGTTGTCAATAAAATAAAATCGATCAGTATAAACGACTCATAATTCCTAAAGGAGGACCAGTTTCTCTCTTCTCTGGTAATACTTAAAATATCCCATAAAACTTTATTTTTTCTATATCCACGGAACAAATTAAAAACTCTTAGAAGCCTATAATTTTGAGTTTGTGTACATGATGATAAAGTTTTGGATACAGAACCTGTAAGATGAGACCGTGAAGGGTTTGATTTGACACTAATATATCCTTTGAATTGTATGTTTTCCCTAATTATGAATGCTATTTTCTCAAGTTTCTAAAAACAGTCTTGGCTTCTTCTATTTTTGTCTGAGTCTTAAATTTGAGTTTGAATGCCTGCTATATGTAGTTAAGCGTAAACTTAAGCATCTTGATGCTAAGTGTCATGTAAATTAAGCGTTAGTGTTTTAAAGGTGATTCCCCTAAGTCTTTATATTAAGCGTTAGTGTTTTAAAGGTGAGTCCCCTAAGTCTTTATAGATGTTGCGTACTTAAGACTCCATCAGCTTTTGTTTTGTGATTTCGAGTCAAGTGTATGAAATGGAAGCTGGTGCTCTTGTTTGTGGACAGATATAAAATCAACAGGTGTAAGAAACGTTTTGTTTGTTTCTTATAAGTTATACATGTTTGTGTTTGTGTGTGTTTTTTTTTTTTTATATAACAGGATTTGGATATGACCACAAAAATATAGGAACTAACACTTTCATCATCCGTGCCTCGGTGATTGGTGTCATCACTCGAGTTTGTAGAGATAAAAAGCAGATTCCGTGGAGTTCAAG